TCCCAAAGTAATTATACTTTATAGAGTAACAAGTATTAAAAAACCAAATGAAGGAAAGCCATTTTCCTAACTAGTGTATTTCCGGTATCATATATATCGACCTTGTAATCTTCAATGAGGTTAAAAAGACTTTGCTTAAAGAAGCCAAAAAGAAGTCCAAACTGCTTGCTGTTTTTTGTGATGAAACTACATCCACACATATTACGAAGTCAGGTAAAATTTCTCATTTAGGAGTAATCATTAAAAAAAAGTAATTGACAGTTCCTTTTGAAAGCAAAGTTACTTGATTAAATTCTATGAACTATATTAATAAAATCATACTTTACTATTCAGATTTATCTGTGTTACACGATTTTAATTCCCTATACGCTTCCTACTTAATTTTTATGCTAACCCTTTAAAGTAATCTAGTTGACAGGTAAGAGAAACTTAAAACTGCTATATAGCCCACTCTACGTTAGTGGTTCAGCGGTAGAATGCTTGCCAACCACGTCTCATGTGGTCCGGGGTTTGATCGTCGGCTGATGCTCTCCTAGTCGGTAATAAGACCAGTAAAGAGGGGAGGTTGGGCGTGAGGCTAGCGACCCACCTCGTAAAAAATAAATACAGCTGCTACTGAAACTTCAGAACTCAAGCTTGAAGCCCTGTGTTCCCCTGGGAACGTAAAGGAATCAAATAAATAATAAATAAATAGCCCACTCTATCAGTTAATTAATAAATTCACAGTCAGATACTTCAATTTCTTTCAGTGTTTTACTGATTAACCAAACTATCTGATTTATACAAAATTATGCGTGTTTTATTTCTTTTTTGGTGGGTAATACACTACTCATGACAAAACAGTTCCATTTATTACATCCCGTTTGTGAAATTCACCAAAAATAACAGTTGACAAACTATTTTTAATTTCCTAAAATAAATCACCAGCTAAATAAATAGTTATGACAATTTATTATTTAGATGCTTAAATTCTAATGAGTAAAGACCTGAGCGAAATTTAAATGAGTGAAGCTATGGCGTCTGCATTAATAAAACACACCGGCAATATTACTAAATAAGTCAATTCCATGGAAAATATAAGTTATATAATTAACGACTACAAGTTACACATTGTAACAGCAGAAGGCAAGACACAGAAGCCAAGGTATATTTTCAGTTGATCAAACAGCCATTTATATCTATACAGTTTATATTCTTTAATCAATCACTGAGCGTGTGATTTTGGTTTACATTAAACGACATGAAATAGAATGCTCAAATACACGTATAGTATTCTGTTGCTAATGTAGTACTGAAAAGTGGGAATAGTATTCAGACGTTAACACCAACAAATACAATGATTCTTACTGTGAGAATAATATTCCGTTGGAACCTAAATGTCTGTATCACACCACCACAAAGTGTCGCTCACTGCTAAAACATTATACCACATACACTGAGCAAATGACGGACAATTTACTCAAGAAATGAACTTTTCATACTACATTTTAGGAGCAGGCGTTGTCAGAAATCCTAAGAGCTAGATTTTGCTTCATCTGGATAAAACAGTTTTAAATCTAGAAGAGAATATTGATTTCATTGAGATTACAAATAAGTCTTGTCTAAGACTGTGAGAGATCTAGCTACACTTACTTCTCTGTCAGTTAATCTTCAATAAATAATATTAAAAGAAATATTACAATAGAGTGTACGGTATTATCCTGTCTTAGTGTATTGATCACACACAGTACATGTTATCGATTAACAAATACTTAAGAATAAAAATCTACGTTGATTATGACTCAGAGAAAATTTACGTTTATGCAGAATGTTATGGAATTTTGTCTATTCATGGAAATACACTATTTCTATGTCCTTACAAAAAAGTGCCTTTTAGTGCTAAAGTCTTTAACACAGTAATATCATGTCAAAGAATTAATTTCTCACTATAAGATTTTTTAGCACCAATAATCGTTACCACATTAAGTGCAGTTTTAGAAGAATGAAGTATGCCATACAGCTGTGAATGAATGAAATAATACTATTAATTTTACTATCAAGCCATGACATTTTAAAACACACCTTAATTAACTGTGCATAAACATGAAGCAATGAGGAGACAATTCAGTTTTTGTTGTACTTTTACCCTTCTAAATGGAAATCAGAATCTTTTGAACCAACCTCCTACAAACTACAAGTAATACAAATAAGAATCTCCTTCATTAGTGCACTTTAAGTTGTATTTTATGTGCTAAACAGCAAATTCTTCTACAACAAACTGTGTCATTTTACGAGTTGTTGAGGTGAATTAAATTAGCCTTCCATCAAGTATTTAGTAGATTCATCATAAATATGCGTGAGAAGTTTGATAAATTAAGGGTGTCACACACCAATACGCCAAAGATGAACCTTCTTAGTGTTTTTTTTTTGATGAAATACATAATATGAATTAACACGCAATGATAATTGCAGCGCAAAACATGACTTGAATTTACAACACACTCAAACAATATTCTGAAGTTAATTTTATTCTGAATCAACAATTTGACATTAGAGAAAAATGAATAAACAAATATTGAATATTTTCAATAACATGCATAATTCCCGTGAAAATGTTATATCACTTATTTGTCACAAATATTAATTAGTCAAAAAGAATGCAGCTACCCTTGACGTAGACTTCAGAGAATCTTTAGAGGATAAAAATTCTTTTGTGTATAGAAGGTAATTTTAAGTATAACAGTGTAGGATGACAGTTGAGTTGATTAGGCATAATCAACATATCGAAACGAAAGCAAAATACTAACTATAAAGCCTATGTTCTTTTCCAAAAGTACTTCACAGTATGCTTTAAAATTAGAAAGTCAAAAGAAATATGGGCAGAATAAGATCTAAGCAAAGTACAAGTCTCTAGTATTAGCTTATTTATACTTTCAGCACATTTTTCTAAGTACTTTCCATGACTTACTGTAAAGTACAAATATTCTGTGAATGTAATATATCTTCTGAACATTGCACAACCGCTAACAAAGTTTAAGAATGTATGGAATAATTAATGACTACATGTATACAGTTAGTACTGACATGACTACAATCACTACTAGGAAACACTCCAGCTGAACTTATTCTTTTGTTTACCGTTGAAATCATCTGAATACGAACTATGCATGCAACGTAGTTTTTTGTCTCATCGTTCCAATGAAACACGACGGCTACTGAGTGCACAGATATACTGTTTAGACATGAAGCTGATGTGTTATTATTTACATAACATCTATTAAAAATGAGCTTATTAGGAAAGAAAATGTTTTTAAGGCAACTGATATCATATGACACTGAATTACAATAAAATATGTAGCATTGGTTGCTTCTCTACTGATGCAATTTGTAGCAATTTGTATTGCAGCAATTTGTCGAAGCCTTTATGTTATCGCTTCTCAGTAGTACACTTTATCACTATAAAAACTTTGAAATGTTCAATCATACGTATAGCTTAATTTGAAGCGTTCGTTTTATCCAACCATATAAATATTTGTATGCTGAATAGCTCTATTTAGATATGAGTACGTTTTAAGTAGTTCATATCAACAAAATAATTATTTTTATTTTTCACCAGATTCACTCAATTGAATTTATCTTCTACTCCTGGTTAATTCTAAAGTTGAAATTTTAAGCTTACTGGATAACATTTACAGCAATTAAAACTATGAAACAGTCAGCAGACCTCAGTGACAGAAAAAGAAAAAACTAACATCCAAAGTGCATCAAAATGACAACAAAAAATAGACAATTAAACCAGAAAATTCCTGTTGATACATTAATTATAGGAAATTACATCATTATGGGAACTTCAACAAACAAATGTTCCCGTTTAGTAGACAGCAATTAACTTTAATTGACTGGTTAAAGCCTATTTTGTAACTAATGCAGCTAACTACTATAAACTTCATCGTAAATTCAATGTAACGTTTTCACCAAGATTGAATGAAGTGAATTACAACGATTTCCACAGTGTGTCTATGAAATCAATTGGATGTGGTATGCACTCCTTTTTATTGAAAAGCATTTTAGACTTTCTTTTATCAAGCCAAGCAAACCTGTATTGATGTAATTGTGAAAACAGCTATGCTGTAAACAGCAGAGAATTCATTTCAGAACAATGGAGAGGAAAGGCTGAATAGAACTGCAATTAAAATAGACAACTTTCATTTTGGTTAAATGGTTTACTAAATTCATCCGGGGTTCATAAAGTGGTAAGAACTCTTTTGAAGAATTTGTGGGACAGTTATATAAAAAAGATTTACACCTTGAAAAGCTAGGCTCACGCCTAAATCACATAAAGAGTCAAACTTTTAAGAATTTTGTAGACGTAAACTAAAACTAATTGAGGTGTATAGTTCAAAGCAGTAAATCTTTGATGATACTTGCACAATGCAATTGTCATTCAGCCTCTTAGATAAAATGGTGAACATTTGCATACTATAACAAAAACGAATCGTCACATAATTTAAAAGGTGACTGTGTTTTTTATGAATCATTAATGACATAAGTTGAACTTCATCTCTACTATTACTGAATCTATTAAATTTATTTGAACTGCTACATAAACAGACATACCAGACAGATATTTACAATAACAGCGTTTAAAAGGGGAAATAAATACTTTAAAGATATTTAAAGAAATCTTTAATTAAACATTTAGGAAACAATGAACTGAGCGAAAAAACAGTTATTTTCTAAACAGATCCTCATCACTGACTCTACTCTAACATACGCAGTCATTTTAATACAAATAAAAAACATATGAATGTAGTGGTGGCAAGTTTATTAAAAATAAATAATCATCACTAGATTGAAAAACTCCAAGATCCTATCAGAATTGCAGCTTATATCAGAGTAGGGTTATTACAAAGTGTCTGATTGTAATGTGAGTACTTTTTAGCTTAATTAGCTATCTTTCAAATATTTAAAAAAATTAAATAAGATTAAAATTACATGTATCTGGACATATGACCACTCACTCAGTCTGGTCGTTCTGAAATTCTATATATCCAACAGCATCTTCGAAATCCTTTCCTCCCCCTTTAGCTGTACCTTCAACAGTTTGATATGGAAGACGAACAACTCCCCGGCAACCTTTGATTATGCGTGAAATCAATGAATAAAGTTATTATTTTGTATGTTTAATCAATGCAAACAAGTAAAACAACTTTCTATCAAATTAAACAGTGCCTCATAACAATTGTTACTGGTTTAATAAGAAGTGGTTGTTTAATGTATCTTCATAAACTGCATCATAACTAATTACAGTACACTGTGAATATGATATTCATTTGGTTTTAGCGTTTCTATTTCGATCCAATAAATTTCAGCCACCAACAAAAATGAACAAAACTCTCCCAGTAAGAAAATGTTACTTACTGGTGGTTGAAGAAAGAGATTTCTATCTCTTGCTCACTTGAATTCCACTTAACTAGGACAAACTTTTCATGACAAAAATACAAGCAACTTAGTCCTGTTCCTTTTTCTTATGTCTAATAAACTGTGTATTATTTCCTATTTTATTAGTTACATTCAGTAAAGATAGGAAATTGAAGAAGACAACCAAAACAGTAAGCAAGATAGCATGGTTAGATATACTACCAATTGACACAAATATTTCCAAACTACTCATATCAGTCAATTTGTAACTTGTTTCTTGCCACAGAAGCAGGTCCAATATATATCCGGATTTAGATAATATATTGGAAACACCACAGCAATCACGATTCATTGTCACGGTTATAGCATTATTACTGTGGAATTGCATATCTAAATAGCTTAAGTCGTCAATACAGTAAAAATAGTGGTTTTACCAAGAAAGAAATGATCATATCACAGGAATTGGGAATTATGTGCTAAGTACTGGTTTTTTAAATTATGTGTAGTTTGGTTAAATTGATACTTTACAGTAATCTGATTACAAATAATCAGAATCTACATACGTTGATAAAAATGTAGTTCAGCACTTAGCTTAACTGTCTGTTCGGAATTCATTACACGTTTCACCGAAAATCTTACTGTAGTTGGATTTCATTCTTTGACATTGCATATTTGCGCGACAGCTGAAAATAGCTTGCCAACTAGCATGAAACCTGAATGTAGAGCTTCCTAACGATTTATTTCCCTTTATATTTGGGATACGAAATTACGCTCTAGTACTGGAGTATATGTGTCCTATGAATTTCATAACCAAAACGCTTTAAGAAAACTAAATCATTAGACGTGCAGTTTGCCAGATGAAACACCAGGCATCTTTTAATATAGCTCCAATGTTCACCATCGTGATGCTACTCATATCCTCCTAATTCCTACATCTTTGGTCCCAATTCTGAATTGAATGTCTATTACGACAGCCAATTAGTATTTTATAATAGTCCTCTATTCATAGTCTTTTCAGTTATATTATAGTATACCCATTCATTCATTTGATTAATCGTCACTTTCAAGGAAACAACACTTGATGCCGAATGACATCTTAAAATCAAACCAAGCATACTAATTTACTAAAATACAAAAAATGACTAGCAATGTCCTCAAATAAAATAATTAACATACCGGAAACGCGTTGCACTTTAGCTTCAGCAAATTCACATGACTCGCTGACAGTAACTTCATTGACATCAAACTGAAAGACTCCAGAATGATCATCATCCAAAACCATAACTGTCGCAACCATAGGATCAACTAAAATTGGTTCCACTCGATTTCGGGAATCCTTCACTTCTAGGTTTCTCAGATGAACAGTGAAATGTTCATCTTCTTCAAAGATATCATCATCTATTATTGAGATCATTATTTGTTTGTGCGTCTCTCCTGCTTCAAACAACAGAATTCCTTTGGCTGGCTCATAATCTTCACCTGCAACAGCAGTTCCATCAAGAGTAAAGTACTCCACAGAAACAACGGCATGCATATCCCCACCTACTCGAGTAACTGTAACTGGAAAAGTCCCAACATTTTCCATCACAGTATAATGCCCCGGATTGAAAAAGAACCTCTGAACATGTGGAGGGTAAGCCTCAGTTGTCGTATGGGTATCATCAAAAGACATTCTGCGTTCGACTTTAGCCTTCTTGATAACATTACCACTTCCTGTCAACTGGCGTGTGGCTTGCATTCTGTAATAAGCTCTAGATTTTGGACCTTTATTTAATACTTCTATTTGAGCCAATTCTTCTAGCTCCTTCATTCCAATATTTGGATTTCTTTTCCTGATTTCTTTAATTGCCTCAACATAATCCATTCTATGTCGATCAAATTCTGACTCCTCAGGGAGCACGTCTGTCTCCTCAGGCGTATAAGTTACTTCTTCAGTATGATTAGCTAACTCCAAGTCACCATTAGCAGCTTTCATCAAAGCAGTAGCACGATATTTTTTTCTCAAGAACTTTTTGAAGAAAATCTTAGTGTCCGCAATATATGCACAAATAACAATGACTGGGAAGAAAATGAAAGTAAGCAGCGCTTCCCAAACCTCGACCGAGCCCGGAGTAAAAACTGCAATGATGAGATACATCCAAAGATAAGCGAATACACTCCATGAAGACGTGATGAAAAAGACACTTAAATGTTTTATTCTACGAATCTCGCCATCAGGAACAACCAACACACAAACACCAATGATAACGAATAAATTAAATGCAGCAGATCCAACAATAGTTCCAGGCCCCAAATCTCCAGCTTCAAAATTTTTTCCAATTATTTCTATTACAGACAACAATATCTCAGGTGCAGAAGATCCAAGTGCCATTAAAGTCAAATTGGAGACTGTTTCATTCCAGATACGAACGGATACCGTCTGTGTTTCACCATTCTTTTTCCGAATTGTGACTTCTTTTTCTTGGGAAGTAATTACTTCGATCGCAGCCATAAAACGGTCAGCAATAATTGACACACCCAGGAATAAATACATTAATGCTGCGAAATAAACAATGGCCCTAGCAGCCTTATCTCCAGCAGTAATACCAGTTGACGGCCTCCACATTGGAACAATTATGCCATCATAGCAAAATGTCCTTTGTTTAGATGGGCAAGTTCCATTAACTAACTTCTCTGCATTCAGAGGTTTTATGAAATACATCAGCAACTCAACTGCGAATAACACGCATATACTCGACATTTTAAAGCAATCAGAACTTCCCATGGTTAATTTCTAATAAGTTCTGTGATAAGACATAAACGAATAATAAAGTATGAGTGTTGTGACTTGACTCCTATTTGTCCTTGTCTTCGAAAAATAGTACAAATAAGTACAACAGTAGTGAATAGTTAAAACAACTAGTTTGATTTTCAGACTAAAAATAATGGTTGAGAGCGGAAGGATATAATCCTGCGTTAATACATTCTCTGGAATTACGTCAGCTTTTCCAATCCCTTCGTGATCGGGTTGACTGAAGTTGAAGACATCACTCCTGGGAGTCAATTACAATAGTTACTTATTCAGTGACAGAATCTGTACAGCGAAGCAATACTGTTAAACGCAGCATTTGATCCCAAATGCTATATCTTTTGAGGTTTTGAGGACTTTTTAGGAGGAAAACACATCAAGTCATTAGTCACCTCATTGAGTTCCAAACATCTTAACCACATCTACATGATGCTTACTGTACGATAACAAGAAATTCAGACCTCTTGATCGTTCCCCACATGATATATCATCCGCATCAGGAATTTTACATGTGACCCTCGTTTGGAATGTTCGAAGTATGTATGAGCCGCCCTAAAATCCACTGCCTGCCTTCTGGATGCTGTTTCGACCCCTCTAGGAGTGTAAAAAGCTCATAAAACTTCAAGTGGTGAATATACTAAATGAAACACGTTGTGCCCTGTATGTGAAGTGAAGTGATAAGACTGGGCGGCAGCCTAACGTAAGTTTCAGGTAATGAATTATTATGAAACCTATATCTGTGAGCTTCTGAAATGAAGAATGCAGTTTTCCCTCTATTTCCTTTGCGCTGTAACTTGCGTATGTTGTGTATTTGTTTAGTTACTTTACTACGCTAGTGTGGACAATCCGTTCCTCGGACTGACCTAAGGGATTTTTGTTGCTTCGTTACATCATAAACATTTTGACTTTATCCCCGAGTACTCTCCGTAGTTTTACTTCATCTAATTTGAAGATCATAGAACATTTGGTGACCTAAGTTATTCGTTTATGTAGGTGACTAACGAGAGGGGCACGCTAGCATATACTGTCGCCAATGAAGAAATCGTTTGGTTGATTCCAACTCCCCTCTTCTGACTAAAAGTAATTCTTGATCTATTTGTGTAGGTCACTCATGGTCCAGAAAATTTCCAATCTCATGGGAACTCCTGAGTGCGGCGTTTGTGGGTAGTCTTGCTGAAGTCAGCTAACAAGCCGCTGTGGGATTTAGTGAAGCTTTCTTTTACTATGAGAAGTCTTGTAATATAAGAAGGGTTCCACTGAAGTTCATGCTGTTTTTAGAAAACCTGTTTGCATTTCAAATGTTGCCATGGGATCAGCTTTCCTGGCAATTCTTCCACTGTTTGATTAAGGTGTCGATAAGTGCAATAGTCCAGTAGTGTAGGACAGTGCCATGATTCCTCCACACGGTTTAGTGTTGCAACTTCATCTACACAGCCACGTGGTACACTGTACACGAAAAGAATAGCCTGAAGATAGTAGTAAGTAGGCTAGCTATGTGAGCTGCTTTATTTGAATACCATCAACTAAAGTCAACTCTCCTGTGTCAAGTTAACTTGAGAATTGAAATATGGCACCTTCGTCAATGCCAGCAGAACTATGGCTGCTAAACACGTGTGTTTTTAATCTTTCTCATCATTCTTCTTTACTACTTTTTTAGCGCATGTGGTATATTCCCGCGTCTCTGTTAATCTCATCGTTGGTTCGCCTACTACCTTGCCACCCTGTCCAATATAATCTTCAAGGTCCTCATAAAGAGCCAATACCATTTTCATACCCTCTTCATGCCTCAGCTGACTTTACAGGTTTTCGTCCAAGTCGCTTTCTAAAAGCCCCGGTGCAGTTAGCAAGCCGAAAGAACGAGATTTATAACTGTTTCACGAACACTGATCCTCAGGAGGAATGTTGTTTTCATCCACACGCACCATTATATCATCATCAAATTGGCTTTATATCACCATGTAATGGATATTAATACGATAGTTTTCCAGCACTCACGTGTTTGTCAATTTCTCCTTTTGAGAAATAGGGATAAAGTAGCCTGCTTCCAATCACTTGCTATCTGAAGCCTGTTCGGTGAGTGTTCAATAAGTGAACATAACAGAAAAGTGCTGGAACGAGTGGAGAGGCTTCAGGAGTAGGTGTTTTTAATGCTAGGTTCTAAAGGAACCTAGATTTTCGGGTGCATCTATGAATTATTTTTATACGAGCTAACGAGTCAAAACAGCGTTACATCCAAAACTATTATTCGTCCGTTGTAAGTAAATGACTACACAGTTATTGGTATTTTCTGACGATGTAACATATTTCACCGAGAGATTATTCACCAGGCAACTTGGGCGAGACGAAAGAGCCAGCAGGTGGTTTGGCTAGCGCTCAGGTCTAGCAGGACCGATAACCGCAAATCAGTCATGAGCGCTACATCCACTCGAAACCAACTGGAAGCCAGTTCACAGTCATTCATACAGCCCGACTCACGGGGTTCCTATATTCACACATCTTTTTATAGTCTGCTCCCTGTGTCTTATCGGTGTGGGATTTGTAGTCTAGTGTCGAGTTGCTTGTCTAAATCCCAGTTAAAACCACTTCGATTCTAGTACTGTTTCAGTCACTACAGATACTTTCGCTCTCAGTGTAGTTTCTGAATAGTGGCACTGTTATACGATACAGACTTTCCGAAGAAATCTTGTTATCCGCCCTACAACCATACTTGTAGTCACCTTGTTTGAAATTAAATGCATGGTGGAATCTCAAAATGTGGCTGGGCAAGGTAATCTTTAAGCGTTCGCCTGCTTGTCTTTAGTAAATATTGCTAAAGCTTTCAGTAATCTCTTGATAGATGGGTAGTTTTCCGCTTTGATTTAAAGGTGCCCACTCCGTCACTAATGCTTTTCTTACGAGCCATAAATTGCCTCATTTTCTCAAGTTACGTTTCTCTAGAGTTCCCTAGCCACAAAGACATGTATGTCTCGCTCAGAGCCTGCTGTGTGGCGTAGTCTGAATTCCGTGTCAAGGTTCTCCATGTGCACCATAGCTTTCTTTTAGTTACAAGTAGACTTTATGTACAACTCTTCAGTTGCTTACATCTTCTTGAGGCTTACTGTCACAGTCGGATAGAATTAACTCACATCCATATTCACTGTAGTTTGCAAACATTCCAGATGCTCATCCACCCTTATGAATGATAGTATCTAGAACTAGGCACCGCCACCACAGCATCTGTCATTCATTGGAATAGCAGCATCGAATAAGGCAGCTGTCCTTATTTAACTATCCCATTAGCGACTAGGTGAATTTCCACTTCTCTAACTGCCTATAATTATTGATGACCCTATTAAGACATTCTCTATAAGCAAATTTCTGCTAATGAGACAGTAGGTTCCAGATAGCCCACCGATAAACTTAACGTGTGTCACCTTCCATAATGGTTTCGTGGAGACCAGCAGTCATAATGGTATTCACCAAGTACCTACGGAAAAAATTCTGTGTTTGTGATCAATCTCAATTATTGATCTATTAAAATTACCAGCAATGTGATCATATCAATGTGGCTGAATTTACTTGAGTCTCTTGTAACTTGTGATTTGCAACGTTTGACTGAGACCGATACACTCCACCTTATCAGAGGCCTGTTGTTGTTTGCAGTCATAAAATACCTGATTGTCTCAGCAAGTCCACTCACCACGATATTATTGGCTAGAGCTGATTGGAAATTACTGACTATAGCAACGTCGGGATTGATATTAACACAAGTGAATATAATCCCAAGCGATTCCAAGGGAATAGCCAAGCTCTCTAAAAGTCTCCAGATGTTTTGGGGGTGTCATATTTTCCTAACTTTTTCAAAGTTCTAAATTACTACCTTTATTTTTGGTGTTTATTAGAGGCGGCAAATGCTATTCACTAAACCGCCTATCTTCGTCTCGATAGAATTGTCAGTGGCCTCAGTTCATGGTGTCTGTCGCTGAGAATAGTGATTACAGCATTGGGCTGACAAATTCAGTAGAGAAGAAGATTCATTAGCGCAAGAGACTCTAAGAATACCAGATTGTATTGGTCATCATCTCAAAGTATTTAGGCCGTGGTTAAATCCCGAAGCTCAACTCAGTGAAAATGAAGTTGAAGGCATTCAGACAGATAATTTGAATTCAGCATTTGAACCATCCAATAAGGCAGACATGGTAAAACTGGAAACAGATACTTCTCCACCTTTCGTTTCTTTTCCGGTTTCTCCTGTACGGCAACATCCCATCTGCATCCATTTCACTGCGTTCAATTCTGGATAATGACAGCGTCACTGTCAGAATGGGTGCTGGGAATGTGAGAAGCTGGCACAAGAAATTCAAGCCGATTATATTACTTCTGTGACCCCGAATGTTACTATGGATACATGTTAATATTTCTCTTGCCCTCACATTCACTTTGTGAGATGACCATGTGCACTGACATTTTTGACTTTGTCTTCCCTATTCTCCATCAGCAGGATGGCAGGTGGTAAAAAGCAACCCAAACCTCTTTGTCAAGGACTACTGTTTCCTTTCGTGTGGTTAGCTTATCTCAGCATGTTGGCTTATACATTTTAGCAGGTAAGGCGATAAACTCAAATGTGGTCCACGTCCTACTGATAGTCAAACAGCTGCTTTTATATAAGTTTTGGAGAACAAGGCATTCTATTAATGACTATGAAATTTCAGTTGTATGCTTGTATAAGATATTCCCTTATCCTCAGAACTGCTCCTTATAGTTTACTAGCTCTCCAATAAGTGATCAGCAAGAAGTGATAGCCAGTCACCTTTTAGCCAAGACAGCTGCAAACAATGTATGTTAAGCACAGTACATTTGGCAGAGAACTTATTGCTATGTACCGTGCCATATATCACGTTCAGCGTTTGGTTTGTTAGTAATTCATAACTTTTGCAAACTGTGAACGAGTCATGTGCAATCTAAGCTCAGCATCGGACAGGTATGCGCCAACTAGATTACGTTTCGCAGTTTGCTTCGGATAGTCGCATTGGATCCGGGGCCAGAGACACAATATAAGGCGTTATGTCCCACACATACTATTTCGTTCAAATTAACGAAATAGAACTTGTAAACTGGCTGGTATCTAAAAAGAAGATATCAAGCTGCAACAAGTAAGGACAAAGGTTATCTTGATGTGTTTTCGTG